ATTTTGCAATGGAAAATAACAGTTTAATCACTAATAGTCGTACAATCCATAATCAACGGATTGTACATCCATAATCAACTGGTGATTAAATAAATAAGACTTTTGTTATTTTAATTTGTGATTTGTTAGCTGTAAGCTTTTAGCTTTAGCTCGGCTTTAAATGTAATTCAAAAAATTTTAATAGCCCAACATGGCCAGAAAATAATTTCTATTCAAAGTTGAGTTGTAAGTGAAAGTTGTTGTTGCGCGCACCAGATTTTATTTTATTAATCTCTTTGGTAATAAAAAAAAAATTAATGGCATCTTAGTAACACTGCATTAAACTTACTTCATAACTCTAGTTATAACTCTATTGTTAAAATGTGTTAATATAAACAAGAAAATTATATAAAATTAATAACACTTATTAAACTTGGTGTTTACTTCTTTTCTGTTGACTAAAAACACGGTATCTTCCCCCTATTGAATATATTGAAGTTTTAAAAACTTAATGAAAACTAAACAAATTTATTAATAAAAATATATTAATTGAAATAATAAATAAAAAGATTAATGCTGTGAGTGTTAATAGACTTAACGTTAATTCATTCAATTTATTTTACTGTTTAGGCTTTGAATTTCTTGACAATAAGTTTAATACAAATATTTTAATTTAAAAAAAAAAACCAACAAAGCAAATTGATGAAGTATTTAAATTAGAAATAAGGGCACGGAAGAACTCATAAATAACTCATAACATAAGCTAATCTTTATTAATAGAATTACAAAAAACACATAAATAAAGATTCAGTACAAAAAAAAAGTACAAAGAATAATAAGAAAAGAGAATAAATATTTTAAAATGATTCAGAAATTAATGATGTGCTTCAACAACTTCCTTTATCATTAATTTACATATATAATAGGAAAATTAAAAAAAAAAAGAACAAAAATTAAATAAGTCTATGATTTTCATTCAGCATCTTTTGTCTTGGACGCATCAAGAATTTTGTTAGATCATCTGAGAGTTGGTTCTCAGTGTCTTCTCCTCGAATTTGAATTTTACCTTCTTGATTTCTGATGATACCTTCTTGATCCTGCCATAAGAAAATGGCGAATCTAAATACGTTTGGTTCGTTTGTACCACACTGGATTTGCTGCTAATTTAATAGCTGCATTAGACATACAAGGTGACTTGTTTTAAATTGGTAATTTCTTGGTTTAGTCTCATAATCCAAATCAACTCTCTTGTTCCTTCACTGCCTGCAATTACTTCAGTTTCAGTCGTAGAATAGAGACGAAACGTTGTCTTTTGCTACTACATGAGATGACTCCTGCAGAATATAGGGAATCTATCCCAGGGGTAGACCTACCCGTTACTTGGTTGAACCTAGGTCTGCATCGGAATAGCAATGAAGAAACCCAGGGCTGCAATTTTTTCTATATAATATTCCAAAGTCAGGAGTGCCCTTTGATTATGAGCTAGTTCAGAAAGAGTCCATGTTTCATTTTCCTATTGTGAAGACATTTCATCAGTCTAAGCTTTTTGCCATACTTGTGCATCCTTAGATTTCATACTTTTCATTAAGAAGATTAATAAATTCGTCGAAATGCGACCCCTCAAGAATTCAAAACCCGTCAAAATGTGCTTCCCTAAAAAATTTTGATGGAGCAACTTGCGCCTTGAAGCCCCCTTCTGGGCACCCCTGGGGACCGGGGCTAGGACAAAATGAAAAAGCTTTATAATTATTATGTTATAATAACAAGTGTTCATTGTATATATAACACAATACTTTTGACAGAATTACTGATTTACTGATTATTGAATAATAATTATTCGAAAATAATTACTTAATTAAAGTGTTTATAATAACCTTCACATTTGATTTTTTTTATTTACAACAAACTGCAATAAGATAGGGTAAAAGTACCAATAGTTGACAGAGTATCGATATCTGATTTCTCTTTGAGGAATAAGATCTCAGCTGTATTCCATCAATGCTTGGTTTCTTATTTTTCCTTTTATATTTGTCCGCTTTGCTTTATCATGCAGAAATCGTAACCAAAATAATGGTTGGCAAATTCTAAAGGTCCTCGATTCCACTTAAGTGTCCATGAACTTAATCTATGAGCAAAGGGACCATTCCTTAGCTTTGTCTTTTTTCTCTTTAGTCACTTCGATTTCTTCCAAATTGATTGCTTTAATTTTTCTTAGGGTGTTTTTAAATTATTTATATTTGTTTTTAACTCATTTTACTAAAGGAATTGGAAATTTAATGGGTGTCAGCTGCTGGAGTCTTATATTGGGCCCTTGGCGTGTGAATTTTAAAAAAATATTCTCAATGCAACAAGTCATAAAAATGGGACTATCAACTCCTATCGTAAAAGAACTAAAAATTCTAGTTATGTGGATTAAATACAAAGCAAAAATAAATAAGTTTTCCTATTCCAAAACTAGGTTCTATACAATATCCAATACCCACCGATAAATTTAAGTCGAGAAACGCAAGAAGTTGGCGTTATCATATGTTAGAGTTACATCTGAAAACAGGTTGTCCAGAAGTGGAAATTCTTCGCTTGCACGGTTTTAAAGAAGAGTAGAGCAATAAAATATCTTGGAAGGGGGAGGGAGGAGTATCGAGAGGAGGTTCATGCGCCATCGACCTACTGGGGATTGGCATCCCTGGCTAAACGTTCAAAGACATTTCGTTAAACATGTCAGCTACTTATAATCAACTTTAACATTCTAAAATAATGTAAATTAATTTATTTCGTATTCTAAATTTAGTTCCAGGGATTAAACAGGACTTCTGTTATGTATCATTATATAAATTAAAGTAAAATTAAATTCATCGGTAGCTTTAAACGAACTCATCTTAATTGAAATTTGTTAAAACAGACGTCACTTATAAAACGTCTCACTAACAGCCCACGCGACGGCCTTACCTTTCATATCAGCTGATCAAGAGTTGTCTTTACAATTAACAATTAATGTTGAAGGAGAGTTTAACAATCGATTATTGTTACTAGCCAGTAATTATGTATCTCACTTATTTTTATTTTATTACCTATATCTACTTAAATATATTTTTATATTCATTTGTTTATGAATTGATTTTGTCTAGTGTTATGTAAACACCATAATTTTCGTGGAAATAAATTTCATTTCTTATCTCTGAACTTCTTTTCAACATTTATACTGATTTACCTGATGAAAAAACTTGGTATCTCATATTTATAATTGTTTTTATGAAATTGATTGTTTCTGACAATAATTATTTAATATGAAGTTAGTTATCTTTATTTATTCAATGTAATTTAGCAAATATCTCATATTCACCAGTTTACATTGGAAAAGGTGAAGAAATTATATTCCAAACCACTAGCGGATCCAGGATTTGATTTTGGGGGGGCTTCAGCCCGAAAGCTTTTTTTTTCTTAAAAATGACGATAATTACTTTGGAAAAAAAGAAAGAAACTAACTATCTATATGAAATGGTGTTTAAGTGATTCCTTAAGTCCTTTTATATGTAATTACACGAACAATAAGACTTTAGGAGATAATTTTTTAATATTTTTTTCCATAAAACATGGTTATATTTTGCCATTTTGGGGGGGGCTTCACCCTGAAAGCCCCCCCCCCCGTAGATCCGCCCGTGTTCTAAATTATGGATGGAACGTAATAAAAGTGTATTAAATTTATTAAAATTAAATAATTCTAAACAAGGAATACAAAATCTTCAAACATTCATAAAAAAACTTATTAGTGTGGAAATTAAAATATCCTCGTTGTTTGGGCTGAATTTATAATGATGATACCAGTGTATTTTTCGTTTTCTGAAAAGTAGTGATTTTCTGATTCGATAGTTCGATAGTAACGATGATATATTGGTATGGAAAAGTAAATATAATGAAAAAAGGTCATGATTTGAGCTAATAGGCAGCATAGCTCTTAAATAATTTTACAAAACTACATAACATGGCCATGCAATATTGTTACTTTTCAATGAGTGTACGAGAATTACTTACCGACAGATGGCAACACTGCTTATAATTTGTAATTAATTTTTTATATGAAGAAATTTCCTTTCCTTCCAGTTTTCCTGTGGCTATTTAATATTGTTTCAAAGTTTTAAAACGTGGTAAATCTAATTATATGTTTAAGTTTAAAATGATAGAATATTTTTTTTACTTCCTTAAGAATTATTTAAGAAAATGCTAGCCGACCAATATAGAAAACTCAAATATTCTGAGTGAAACTTGAAATGGTGGTTTAAAGTAATAGGCATTTTATTCCGACAGTAACACCGTATGGCTTCATCTCGAGTATATCATTAAAATAAAAAATGGGATGATGACAATGAGTGGAGTAGAGGGTGGGGATGGTGTAGTAGGGATAGGCGTCTGCGTCACAGTGTTGGACTTGCCCAGTAGTGTCGATAGGTCCTGAGGAGGTTGCTGATAACTTCGTCATGTTATCTATTCGCTTCTTCAGATTCCTTCTTGGCATTTGACGTTCTGACCTGGACCTGGCACAGTTCGGAAATGGTTCGGGTAGTGAGAATAATAATCCAGTGATTCCTTCCTTAATTTTTTCAAATTAATTATTTTATTTTTTTTTATCATCATTGTTCAAGAAGAAGAAGAATAATCAAAATGCCTACTGTGATATCCAAGTACTTTGATGACATTTCTAAACAAAACATAAGTAAAAAGCAAGTTGGCAGTGGTATTGCTGCCGCTGCATTTCTTTATGTGCATGTAAGTTCAGCTATCCTTATGTAAGTAAAATATTGAAGAATCCTAGTCAGAAAGAACCTTTGATCATTTCGAATAATAATAAGAATGAGCCTTCGCAACCAGAAGAAGCCGAAAAGGCTAAAAGAACTTTTATTCCTGGCTTTAACAAAGAATTTGTGATACAGTTATATAAAGTAATAAGGCTACTGATACCAGGGGTATGGTGTAAGGAAGTTGGTTTCCTTTCAGTGCACACAATTGTTCTCCTTACGAGAACATTCATGTCAATATATGTTGCCACCATGGAAGGAAGGATGGTGAAGTATATAGTTCAGAGAGATGTACGCAATTTTGCTTTTATGTTATTGAAATGGCTTGGTGTTGCACTACCAGCAACATTTTTGAACTCCCTCATTCGCTACCTTGAGTGTAAAATAGCCCTGGCATTCAGGTGAGATCATTTTTTTTATTTTTAATATTATCTATATTATTTCCAAATTTTTTTTTATTTATTAGATATACATATTTCTGGCTCATAATAAATTTGCCATCTACATTGGTATTCAGCAAATATTTCTGAATAATTGGCAATTATTTCCAAATAACTATAAATATTCTTCATTCGGTAAACACATAAAAGTTTATTGTATTGTGTACCATTACAAGCAGAGATGTGAGTTGAAAGTGCAAACAGCAAGTGGAGGTCATGTTCGCAGATAGTGACAGTAAACTGTCCCATTCACTATTACATGTAGTAAACATTTAAATAAAAGAGATATTATTTTTGTAGTATTTAAATCTTAATATTTCATTTAGAGTATTAATAATTGTCCATCATTTTTTATTACTGCTTATATCAATCAATTGGTTAAATTATTTTAATACTATCACATCATACTGTGCAAAAACATTATCATGTTTTATTATTACTTATAAATTAGAAAGTAAATTATATCAAATCAAATAACTTTTCAATTTTATTCTTTTTTGATTTCATGTTCATTACAAGATAAATTAATGACAAATTTTGTGATCTTCCTATTATTATGTATTAAAATTGACTGTCTTATTTATAATGATACTTGAACTTTGACATTTCTTAAAAAATATTTTTGCTTTAAAGAAATGGATTTTTTTTTGCTTGTTTTATGTATTCTTCTTATAATGGTTATTCATTGCATTTTCTTACCAATTATCATTTATTCAATAAAGACTTATTTTAATATTAATAACACCAAGCGATTTCTTCTTTTCATTTCATTTATTCCATTGAAAATATTTAATGAAAGATTTGTTAATGATTCGATTAAAAATTCTATATTAATGCCTTTCAAATCTATAAAATATTGATGATACATTATATATATATATATATATATATATATAATATACATATATATATTTTTTTTAATTATAATTTGACTGTCTCGCATTTGAACAATAGGTTTCATAATTATTTACAATACATTTCTTTGATCCAATCAACAAAAGAAAATTTGTTTAATCGCTTCAATTTGTTTCAATATAAAAATATCTGGTTTAGCATCATGAAGTAAATTTTTATAGAATTAACATTTTTATTTATTAAATATTGATGTAAAGTTTTATGGAGTTTACCTTTATATTTATTAAATATTAATGTCAATTTTAATTTATTTAATAAAAATAAATTTGATATAACAGATCAAATTGAACAATATATTTTGTGACTGAATTATAAATATATATTTAGTTTTTAATCTGAAGACATTATAATATATTTAAATGTATGAAAATCAATAGTAATCAATTAAATTATTTTTTGTTTATTGTCCAATTATAAATTTTTTGTTTTGGTTGCCTCTGCTGAACTCAATGTGAAATTTAATTTTGATCAACTTAAATAATATTCTTTAGTTATTAATTTTTTTTATTAAATAGTACTAAAAATAGACAGCATGTAATTGGTTTCATAAATTTATGTATTCATAAGGTGAAAACATTTCTTTTTGGTATTTGAACCACTTTAACAATATTTTAAATTTTAAATCCTGACTTTAACTCTTGGGATAATGTGGTAGTTACTGTAGTTAATATTGTACTTTTTATTATAATTTTTATTTATTTTTAAAAAATAAAAACCTAAATGTTAGACCAAATAGTTTGAATATAAAATCGTTTATTGCATTTTAAAAAGGATCTAATCATCACTTGAATGATTTTAATATAAAGTTTCTTCGTACTGTTTAATATATTTTTGTTTAGATTTGAGGTAAGCAAACGATTAAAATTACATATGTAAAATTTTAAAAAATTATAAAGTATTTTCTGGGTCATTTTTTTAGCTTGGTTAACGACCTTGTTTTGGACGGTTTGCCATGACCTATTTTAAGCGATCTTTGATTTCTTGGTAACAGAACTAGAATGGTCAAATAAGTATATTCTGAAACTTTATGAATAATCTGCTGCGAAAGTAATCATAGTTAATATGCATTAACCGGTCCGAATGGTAAACAACCGTTTTAGATTTTACTTAAAATGGGAATTAAATTTTATATTTATAATAGATACATATTTATGGTTATGTTAGAGTAATTAAATTGCGTATTATTGGGTATTTTTAAATCGGTGATTTAGAAAAAATGACCGAATGTTTGATGCAATGACTTCAAGTTTTATTTTAAAACTTTACAGAGGTGAACAAAGTTTTTGTAGGATCGGGCTTGATGTGCTTTGTATGTTGATATCCCATAAAAACTTTGAATTGAAGGCGAAATTTAGAATAAAAAAAAAAGTATTTTTCTATTATTATGAAAAATTGTATTTAAGGGTTTTTGAAGGTCCGAAAAACGAATATCAACAATCTCACAAAAAAAAAAAAAAAAAAAAAAATTAAATGAGATCCAGACAGGTTTTTAGTATATAATATTAACAAAATATATTCATTATTTTGTAAAACGATGATGACAATGAATGCCTCTATAGTAGGCAAAAGAACACTTGGAAGGCCAAAACGCCGATGGATAAATCAACTCAGATGCAATAGTTTCATACAGAATGATGACCCCCGAAAGCAAAATGATTATCAAAACGAGCGTAGAAGATATTCGTGCAATTTTTTAAGAAGTCTTTTTAACATTCTATGAATCTAAATAGACTGGATCATATCCCTGCCCAGATCTGCCAACTCTTGATGGAAAGCGCTATGGGTTTATATGATGGGTTCTTTTTTTTCGAACTTATTTAAAAACTTCATTATTAAAAAGTATTTATAATGTATATACATATTTACAAGTTTATTCTGCTGTTTTTGTTCTTTAAAATAATTCGAAATAAAATTGCCTTGTACAATACAATTTATACAAATACAATTTCTAGGTACAATGCTTGGTAGCTGTAGCAGATAGCCGGTAGGTGAACTAATTAACCGCCACAACTTTAATTAGTGTTAAAACGCGATTTTTACGACCGTAGTATTCAATCTTTCAAGAATAGATATTTCTTTTTTGTTCAACGTTACACTAGTGTTGGAGAACCATGGGTGTGTAGAGACGTTATGCTGGATAGTTTATTCGATCTTAACTCTCAGCCTTATTTGTCCTGAGATTTACTAATATAGTACTTTTTTTACCCACGTAACAATTTCCTGTAAAGGTATTTTTGCATTTTCTGCTCTTCTTGATCTCCATTTTGCAATATGTTGACCATTCCCATTTAAACCGTCATGGCCTTGAATCGATTGAATCTTAAATTTGTTATTTGTTGAAATAAATACTGTATTATTTGTGTTTATTAGGTATGATGAAATTTGTTGCCGACAAAATGATGATAGTTTATGAACATATGACCAGAATAACTAGCTAATATCAGGTATTTGAATCTAATCACTAGGTGATTGAATACATGAACGGTGTATATTATTGCATAGCTTTCCTCAACATTTATTTATTCTCCCATTTCATTCTCTAGATTAGTCACCCGTTAATTTTTTTTTTTCTAACAACTCATCATTTATTTCACTTCCGTCATTAGTCCTCTAGCAGCTATGGAGTGATCGTTCGGTTCTGTTATACTCTTATTGATATCCAGGGAGCACGTGGTGTTTAATAACCGGATGCGATCACTAATCACTCCCTCGTCATCATAATGTTGGCAACCTTTTGCTGACTTCTCCGTCTTGTTTTTTTACGGGATAGGTTTAATGGTCCTTTGCCCAATCCGCAATCTGGAGGACCAGGAGTTATGTTGTTGGAAGACATAGGAGTCGCTCACCTTCCTGTGAATCTCAGGGTGGGGACGTTACCGTCCCCATGCGGGAATCGAACCCGCGCTGGAGTGGTCTAGGCCTGATCAATCGATTAGGGACTCCACTTATTTATTTTTATCTATTGTTAATTATTATAATTTTCATCTTTTTTTTTTTAACCCCGCGAACGGGATTTAAACTAGTAGCTTAAAATTTTTGCAGGCGCTCTAACTCGCGCGACCACGGCGACTCCAGTCACCAGTTAATATGCATTATCTATTCATTATTAAACAATCGCGATCCTAGAACTTGCATCACCTAGTAAAAATTCTATTTAATTTTATTTTATTTACCAGCTTGCTATCTGCAAGATCTCCGGATATTTCCTTGCCAGTTTTGAAACGATATTATACTAACAATCGCCCCATTATTAAGCGATAATTACGGCTGTTATCCTTGCATTAGTTAAAACTGAACTGAGAAACATTGTTAAAGTTTTCTTGTAACCTAAATGAGTAAATAAAAATCAAAATAAATTAATATAATCAAGATTATCAACATAAGAATCAAAGCATATAGGTGATGCAATTTTTATGATCACGACTATATATTGTTTTTATTCAAATATCTTATATTATCCAGCTTTCCTTGTCATATATTCATTAACTGTTATCACTTATATTACTTTTTTTATCTATATCCGTTACACGTTTGGGTAAGTACTGATTATCTATCACTCAATTTAAATCCTTAACTATTTCCTCCTCTCCCAGGTTTTAGATCTTCTTCTCCATTTTATTGAATAAAAATAAACGTCATTCTATTATCAATACTAGACTAGTTTCAATGAAGGAAAGAAAAAAAAAATGCAATGAAATAAATTATAGGATTCATTAATTTTTAAATCCATTATTTAGATTTAAAAAAAAAGGAACGCTCTGGATGATTGGATCGTGACATTTGTAGAAAATTATAATACGCAATTTTCATTGCCTGTCATGGATAGGTCAGAAGTTGTCACACTAATTGTAAGTGGATGTTTGGATTTCATAAAGGGAAAATTCATCAAATTATTCACTAATTTAATTTTCTAAAGGTTACTTGATAATATTTTGTAATAAACAGCTAATAGATACCTAATTATTTAAATATAATATATTTACAGTTATTAAACTACAGTAAATGTATTTTAGGTAATTAACATATCCATGAAATATTTTTATATT